CGCGGCAGACACAGCCGCTTCGGTGCGAAGCTTACCGAACGGGCCTTCAATGACAACCGTGGCGATTGGTAAGCGAACACTCTGCTCCTCGGCGACTTGCCTGATCCACGCGCATTCTCCTGTGAAGTCATCCGGAGACACCAATGAAGGATGGACAACATCCATGGTTGCCGCGGAGTCTCTAAGTGCTCGGCACGTTTTCCCATTCACCGTAATTTCTTGGAGATACGGCTCTAACAACCGCATGTTTTTTTCTGATTTTCGGATCGTTGCGAAAGCAAACTTTTCCTGACAGTTTCTCGCGATGTGCCCTTCCTTTTTGCAGTTGTAGCAGATTAGCGGCTTCCGTTTGTTTTCCGATTCAAATGCCTGTGTGGTAGAAACCTCACTCGATTTCTCCGCTTCTGTTTGCCCTTCCCCTACACTGTCCTTCGTAAGAGATGGGTCCTTTTTGAAATTACGGTGCGGAACGGGTTTCCGTGATCAGGTTTCCTTGAAAAGCCCTCTTTTCTCTCATCCTTTCAACGCGCACTGCCCTGCTGTGCAACTTTCGGCGAGTATAATACTCCTCAGCTAACTCTGCTGCCTTGTTTAGCTGTACTTCCCCAAGTCTGTCCTGCAGCCAAAGTCTGACATTATCCTCGATGCAGCGGTAGAATTGCTCCAATGCAACGCATTCCACCACTTTATCGCGGTCGTCATAAACACCTTCGCCCTTGAGCCATTCAATTAAATCGGCTTTAAGACGAAACGCGAAGTCAACGTGTGACTCATTCCCCTTTTCAGCATACCGGAACCTTTGCCTGAAAGCCTCGGGTGACAACTTATAACGTCTCAAGAGCACTTCCTTAACCTCGTCATAGCTCTCAAACGCTTCCCTAGACAAGCAAGTTAATGCGTCGGACACTTCGCCGGGAAGAAGAGCTAACAGGTTCTGCGCCCAAAGAGACCGCTCCAAAGCGTTTCGCTCACAGACGTGTTCAAACTTGACGAGATACTTCGCCATGTCCTCGCCTACTACGAACGGTGGCAGTTGGTCCCGAATTCTAAAACCGCTGACCTGAACTGTTGGAGAAGCTACGCTAGGCGCCTGCGAACACTGTAGAATTGCCAATTCTAGTCGTTTCAACTCGAGACGCTCCTGTCTCTCGGCCTCCTCGCGACGTTCGCGCCTTTCAGCTTCTTCACGTTCGCGAGCTTCGCGCCTTTCAGCTTCCTCACGTTCGCGAGCTTCTACTTCTCGCCTTTCAGCCTCCTCACGGCGTGCTTTAATATCCACCCAGGCCTCATCGACTTCCTCAGCCGACACTCCCTCATCCTTCATGATCGCAAGGATCGCTTGCTTTCGTTTCGCACGGCCCAAAGTAATGCCGAGTTCCTCACAAATTTCGATGAGTTCCTTCACTTTAAGGTTCTCCATCGTTCACACTAGCCTCTTGCTGTTTGCCCCTGTTAAGAATCTACTTGCCGTACCCACTATAAGCCTACTAGCAAGACGCGCAAGCAATTTTAACACTGCCGTGTTTACCCCCTCTGCATAAACTTTGGTTTCAAAGCGCTTCGACTTGGCTTGAAACGATCAAAGCTTACTTTAATGCTTCACACAGCCCTTCTCTAAACTACTACAACCTGAGCTAGAGTAGTCTGGTGAACTGAGGGGAAAACATCAGGCACTCACCGCATCGATGTCGCTGACGCCGGCCGATCCCGCAGCTGCCAACCACTGTTGCGAACGACGGACCGATCCCGCCGAAGCCACCACTGTTGCGAAAGACGGCGACGCCAACACGGCCCCGGAGGCGCCACTGCTTTCAACTCCGCCGGGAAGGTCACCAGCCGTTTGGTAGCGTATGTTTCTCAGCTCGCGACTGCTTCTGCGCCGAGCTGATAAGACGAGCGGACGAGACGACGGTGAGTTAAACAAGGTTTATGTACAGCATATATACAGAGGCGTTACAATTTCGGCACTGGGGCCGACAGAGACTCGAAGAGCAAGAGCCTCTCTGGCGCCACCTTTAAGTGCAGTGATCTTGACTCGAAATTGGGTGTTCACGTGTGCCGTGCATGCTCGTACCCCTCACCTGTTGTGTGTGTGTGTGATTGGTGTTCCACTGAAGAAGGAGGAGCCCGACAGGGCTTATAACGGCGCCGCAGGGTGCAGGACGTCGCTCTGAACCAAGTAAAGGTTTAACCACCACGCTCGTGGTTTGTGAACTCTTAACCCCATGCTGTAAATATTTGTAAATAGTGCCATAAACCTTGTTTGTTTTTCGTATCCCCATCTTGTAAGCGGTCGTTTCCTCAACCCGAAGCTACACCACGCTACCACAGCACCCCGGGATCACAACAACTGGTGATCAGCGGTGGGATCGCGACAATGCGTTTACTCGCAGCTTTCTTTAAGCTGTTAGCGTTATCGCTTTGTATTGGTAAAAACTGAACGAACGCAACAAGACAATTATATACACTCATACGCTTGAAAACTAGCCGTGCGCACAGATTCGATGTTTTGCTTTCGTTTATCTAATGTGAAGGAACGCAAAACACCGAATTAAAAAGCAGCCATTAAAAGGTGTACGTTTAATAGCTGCTTTGTGTGAACAACCTGTTCCTTTAAATGTATATTTTATTAGACCCCTTACTAGCCAGTGGCTGTGGGTCTAACAAGTGCTGTGTATTTTCATGTACTAATAAGAACTTGAACCAATAAAGAAAGAAAGGCACAATTAGTGCCGGAAACAGTGCGGCTCACATACAAACCTAGCCTTTCACACCACGGCAAGACGGCTTTCATCAAGTGGGCTTAAACTGAACTTCCTCGAATTAAGATAGGTGATGCTACAGAGCGCCTTTTCAGTGGGTCACACGTCAGACCACGTGGAAAATTAATTGTGCCGACAGTCGCGGATGATCCGGGCCGTTGGTCTCCAACACTATCTGGCTATTAGGCAAAGTTTGCGCGGGAAACGAGAGGCTCCGCGCGTGTTCACGCCGTTGAGATGTTCGCGTCAGGCGGACTGCGGGCTGGCCTTGACCCAGATTGCCTTTTTCAGAGGCACGGACGTTTGACGAGGACTCGCTGGCATAACACCGTTCACCAAAAAGTAACGCATAACATTTCTCAATTATTACGAGTTAAAAAGGAGGAGGAATTCCCGAAGTAGAATTAGTAAATTTTCGAGATATACTTCAAAGATGCAGTACCTGTCGTGTTTTGCTTGCTTGCGAGACAGCAAACAATGTACAAGAGTATATCATCATCATCATCATCATAATCATCATCATCAGCCTAATTACGCCCACAGCAGGGCGACGGCCTCTCCCATGATCCACCAATCAACCCGGTATTGTGCTTTTTGCTGCCATGTTATACCCGCGAACTTTCTAATCTCATCGGTTCGCCTAACTTTCTGTCTCCCCTTCGTGCGTTTTCCTTCTCTGGGAATCTAGTAAGTTGACCAGTGGTTATCCTACCTACGTGCTACGTGCCTGGCCCATGTCCTTTTCTTCTTGATTTGAACTATGATATCCTTAACCCAGGTTTATTCCCTGACCGACTCTGCTCTCTTCTTGCCTCTTAAGGTTACACCTATCATTTTCTTTTCCATCGCTCACTGTGCCGTCCTCAATTTAAGCTGAACCCTCTTTGTAAGCCTCCAGGTTTCCGCTCCAAAGGTAAGTGCTGGCAAGATGCAGCTCCAAGGGGACTACCTTTCCTAATCAGATATGTTACTTTACAACTTCCAGCGTTTTTCCACCTATCGCAAAGTGCTTTTTTCTGCCGAGACTGTCGCACATTACTTTAGTTTTGTGCACATTAATTTTCAGGCCTACTTTCCTACTTTCCTTGTCCAGTTCAGTAATCTTGAGCTGTAATTCGTCGCCTGAGTTACTCATCAAGGCAATCCATTGGCAAACCGCAGGTTACTAAGACACTCTAAATTAACTCTTATCCCTAACTTTTCCCAGTCTAGGGTCCTGAAAACCTCCTGTAAAAACGCGGTGGATAGCATAGCAGCGATCGTGTCTCCCTGCCTTGCAACCTTCTTTATTGGAACTCGGTTGCTTTCTTTATGAAGAACTGTGGTGGCTGTCAATCCACTGTAGATTTCTTCAAGTATGTTCATGTATGGTTCTTCAATGCCTTGATTCCATAGTGCCTGCATTATACTGTGATGTCTCGATGCCTTCCAGTAATCTATGAAGGCTATGTATAGGGGTTGGTTAGTATTCCGCGCATACTTATATATATATATATATATATATATATATATATATATATATATATATATATATATATATATATATATATATATATATATATATATATATATATATATATATATGTATACTGTTATGGAGTGTATGACAGATAATGCGTGATGACTCGCTAACGCTTAAAAATTCAGAGCGTCGACAGTTATTCTCATCAGTTAAAACAAAACAAAATAGATCATGTTTAGTGATCTGGAAACAGGTTAGCCATCACCGTCCATATTGTCTACGCGTTAACGGCATGTATTATCAGCGTCAAATGAGACCCGAACAGCGGCGATGGTATAGTGCGTACCGTCCACTTATCACTACGAACAGGCACGCACTGCATATATGCGCAAAGCTGCCGAACAGGATGCGCGATTGTCAATCGTGATAACTGGGTGCCACGCACTGCACTATCGCAAAGGCTTGTCGCTGTTCGGGTTTCATTTGACGCTGATAGTACTGCAAACAGCTGCACAGGGACGGTTTCTGAGAGAGGAGAATCACACGGGTCGCGTATACACTCTAGAATCACGCATTTTATCTATTCCATACTTCCATCAATAATGAAAACCACTGTAGATCATTTACGCAACACGAACTCAACAAAGATACCGTGAACAAATGGTGAGAAAGTGGTGCTGCTTTTGTTTAGAAATGTAACACGTGCTGCACCGAAGCGTGCGCAACAAGCTCGTGGATTTCGTTTTCGCTACCTGATCTTGCTCCCGTACACTTACGCTGAGCTCAGGAACTTGTGTGATCTTCTCCACGATGATTGACTCGAAGTAGATAACAGCTTTGACCAGAGCTCTGCGAAGAAATAGGAAATAGAACGAAAAACGATGTCATCTACACACTCTGCAGAATAGAGCGACTCAAAAGAGTGAAAGTTTCTTCAAGTAGAAATTGGCTTGAACTATTGCATGCAAAAGCAACGTTTCATCCATACCTGTTTTGTAAACTGTTTTTGCCCTCTCCAGACCGCTGAAATATCAAAAAATAAAGCAGTCATGATTCTCTTCCCCTTGTTTTCATTTTTTTTTCTGCAGAAAAAAAAATCACTACAGGAGAACTTTGCCGTAGAAAAAATATCGTATAACTTGTGAGAGCTACAACGTTTACACGGAACTGGCTTGCTAAAAATACAATAGAGTGATCATTCTCGGATTTCACACACTGGTGGATGCCGCTTGCACGGGCGACGACGCAGCAGTTGCAATAATTGACCGCGCACCCACCGCAACTCTTCGCCCTTTCCCTGCATCAAACCCGGAATCCTCGGAAGAAGCGGCAATCGCGCTTGCCCTCACACATATTGATGCCCGGTGCGTCCTTTCGCGGCTCGTAAATCGCAATTTTGAATTTCGCGCGAGGACGAGTCCAAGAGTCCGCTTTCCGCATTCTCAGCTCGCCCACCAAAAACCAGGCCCGCTATGTAGAGCTGATCTGGAACACTCGCAAGGAATTCTGTGCCAATTGTTCATGCAGTGGCTGACGACGATGAGGAATCACGCCTGAAGTGGGTACGTGCCACAAGTTAGTAGCTGAACAAGAACAAGCTTTTGTATATGGGTTGGACCATTGGACGACCCACTCGTTACGCTATTCGCATTGCGCGACGAGTGGTTGTTCTTTCGCCGTTTTAAAACGCTTTATGCATGCCGTGGTACTGGGGCATACTATTAAATACATTGTATATGGAGTTGTGCCTAAGCTAAACGTTTACACAATAGGTGGAGGCGTGGGAAACGCGACAACTTTTTTTACCTTTGGCTTCATTTTGAGTTACACATGGCTAATTTAACCATGTGGCTAATTTAACCAATTATCTCACTTTCTGAAAAAAGTGCATTTCTGCCGTAACAAAATTTCCTAAAAATATGAACATTTTTGATGATTTCGAAAGCAAAACTTACGAGACTCTGAGCCCATCCCGTCCGTGATATGGACGTCTTGTAAATTTCTTGACTGTATAATAGACAGAATGAAGAAAAATAAAATTAGAGGTTGATGAAAGTTGGCGTTTGCACAGCCACGCCCCAATGGGTCAATGATGATAAAATGTGGCAGGTCATAACGTGTCGAGAAAGCACGAGGAAAGGAACAGTTGCAGTGATCAGAGCAGTGCTTTACAAACAAATTTGTTTATATTGATACATGATACAAAGTGATGAAGGATACCTGATACAAATAGCATAAGCAAAAGGCGCGTTATCAATATAATAAATTAACAAGAGCGATGCCTGAAACTTATAGCCTCTTAAGAAATTGTAGCTTAAGAGAATGCAAGGCTTAGTCGATTGTTTACATTGCATTGACCTGCCTCCCTTCGGCAAAGTTAGTGAAAATATATATATATATATATATATATATATATATATATATATATATATATATATATATATATATATATATATATATATATATATATATATATATATATATTTATATATTATATATATATATATATATAATTTCCCAGGTGTAACTGTAGAAAAAAGTTTAAAAAGCAGTTTGAAATACATTTTTGTGCGTATTGTAGCCAATGAATTATTTTTAGAAAACCACGCAAGAAAAGCTAACGCCACTCAGAACAAAAAAGCTTGGTGAAAGTAATGACGATAAGTACAAAATAACGGGGAATAAATAGATGTAAAGTGATTCAAATAACCTGCACTTCAAAGGGCAGTCGCATTTCTTGAGGCTTCTGTAAGATGTGTCCGCCAAAATTTCTTCGGAGCATACTCTACCTATCAGAAAAGAAGATGGCGAGACGTTCAGAAGGCGCTACTCAGAGGTGCTGAATTTAGAAATGGGGCTACAATTAGAAACAAAGAAAAAGAAAGTAACAATACAAATACGTACTATTGACGTAGTTTTGTATTTGTACAAATTTTCTATGCACTTAGGTGAATACATCAAAGCACTTTCGTTCTCAAAATCGGATCGCACGTTAAGAGAGACGGCTTTCGTGCGTTTCAACGGGATATGTAGGTAAGCCATATCAGTACTGATACCAACGAGCGGCTCAATACAATACACCCGTGCGAGACTCTTGAGTACGAATATGGCGATATCGGCGCAACGATATGCAGCATTGATTATCCGGGCCTTTAAATGGTCGGACAGTGCGGGCAGATAAAGAGCAAACAAACGAAAACAATTAGCAGTGGCTTAGCTCGGATATGCCAGGATATACGTAGCGTGATCTACGGACGCACGAATGGACGGATGGACGTCAATCTAGGAGCTTCCAGGCCTTCTCCGGCATGCCAGCTGTGGACCGTGTGACGTCATCTCTTCTTGGGCATGCGCAGCACTGGTCTCGATAAGCCGCGTGAAACTGCTCAACCTCGGCTACTGTATCTGATGCAACGAAATATAATTAGAATAATAACTATGTGTGTAGCACACTTCCTCGCAGAAGCTGACACACATTGCACTGTCATACCCACCATGTTTTCCCGGTGATGTCCCCATCCTAATATTTAGAATCACTAGTACCGTGAATTAGTTACTAATAATTATGACTCTTACAGCGGGACTGTATGTGGCTGGGGTTCCGCACAATTTTCGTGGGCGTCGACGAAAAGCTTATCCGCAACACTAATCGTGTAAAACACCGGTCCCCTAAAGGTGAATAAGTGAACGTATACGGACTGCAAACAGCAATGCACGCGACAAGCCAGACAGATGACGCATGTCGCCAAACGAAGAATGCGGCAAAAAGATGCAAGCACGAACAACGCGGCAAACACTTAAGGGAGCACCTTAGGGGCCCTGGCCACCCCAAAATTCGGACGGTCGGGGATGTTTTACCGAGAATAAACAACGAAAATAGATGTTCTTACAAGCCTTCAACAGGGCTGTCTGGTAAGGTCGACACAAAAACGCGCTTTATGGTTCATTGTGCACCGCATGAAGCACGAGCGCACTTAAAGTTCCAGAGAACGAACACTCTCGCGTATTGATGGTAAATACGACGCCACGGATAATGTGATCGTGTCGGCCCAGTTTCGGTACTTTCTCTTACTACGCCATGCGTTCTGGCGCTGCTAATGCAAAAGGAAGTTCGAGTGCACGGTCACAAGTGCGATGATAGAGGTCACAATCTAGTAAGAACATTTCATTAAAGGGACACTAAAGCGAAACAATGACTAGGGTTAGATTGATAAACTGTACTCTGAGAACTCTATTGTCGCAAGTATCACCACCAAAAGTTCATTATCGGGGGAGCGATTCAAGGTATCGCGCAGAGAACTGCGCACAACTATACCATCACTGATTTCAACACGTAATTTTCGTATTTCACCGACGTTGGATCAATTAAACTTTCTGAAACTTTGTACGTTAGGTGTTGACTGTACTATGTACAGTCAACAAAAAAAGTTTGAGGATCACGCAAGTGCATGCGCCAAACTGGCTCTCCGGGCCACCTAGCAGTGCGCAATCTACGGTCGACCGCAGTGCTGTAGGCCGGAAACGGGTCTCCCTGTCATTTATTGGTTTTTCGATTTTCTACTGCCACCTAGCTCATTGTTAGCTCGCAGTATTCACGCGAAGCGTTTATCTGCAGTATGACCGTCACATTTCTCCTTTGATAGCAGGATAAAGGCTATCACGGCGTGCCTCGAACAGAGTAACCTTGTGATAAAGATCGCGACTGATAACAATTATGCTCATGATGGCTCTCGAGGCAAAAGCACGTAGACGCTCATATGTCAAAAAGCGCGTAGAGTTAAAAAAGTGAGAGGTGCAAATTATTTGCACCCAGTCAAAAAAGAGAAAGGCCATAGATTAAGGGTTGGATGCTGTTCGGACGCTGCGGTGCTGTCAATCACCGCTGACGTGTAGTGAAAGTGTCGGGAAAGGGCTTTTTGGCACGAGCTTGCGCGGTCCGTAAGCTTTTGTGGTCGACTGCACTTCACTTTTAGCGACGAGGAACTACTTAGGACCCAGCAGACGCCTTCAAAATCTTCTACGCCACGGTATTTGGTGCAGGAGTGTCAAGGTGGCGTCTCCACCCACACATTCATTTCGCGCATCCACTCATTTACCAACAAGCGCCATCTCGCGATAAGAGTGGCGTTTTCGGGATTACGGCATTGTACTTTACTATTAGTAAAGTGTAATGCAAGTAAAAAACACAAGTAAACAAGTAGAAGTAAAAAATCTTTTTTTTTCTTTTTGAAAGAGATGGCATATGATATATATTTATCAACTTCCCTTAAAATAGTTCGTCCCATTCTTTCTGCAAGTACCATGCATGGTCAATAAACACTGAGCTTGCGTATCAATGATAGTGATTTGAAGTATGTACGAGGGAATAGACGTTCGTATAAACGCGAGCCGACATTTTAAACGCGGCTGACAGTATTGGCGAAGCTGAGTGGATGGGAACCCACAATCGGAAGCGCACAAATCGTGATGAACACACTTACGATGATCGTCGTTCCTGCACATGATGTTGGCCGCGCCCGTCACGTTGCGAACTTGCGGAAGTTCCTCGCTCATGCATTGGCATTTTTTAAGGATGAGAACTTGCGAGCAAACCGAGAAGCACATCTAGGAGGCAAAAAAATAGTAGGAAATAAATTCAGCCACTCAAAGCGATTGATGGTCGAAGCAATTTTATTGATCTATTTGAAGAGTACTGCCAGCCTGAATACCCGGCTTTAGCGTAGAATTGTGAGGCACAAGACACTGATGAGACAACAAACTGCACGTGAAATCCAAGAGTGTGATAAAAAACAGTAGGAGCTTCTACGGAAGTAAGTAGAAAAACAAGGAATACACAAATGCATAATTAAGTGAAGTAGTTGATACCGCGTCTATTTACCGTTACGGAAGTGTTAATTATAAACAGTCATTGCCATACATCTATGATGAGGCAGAATTTGTAATCAATGTGTCGATGGTCGCGTGATATACCCGGCAAATGGCACGTATCACACATAATCATCTGCTAATTTACGTTTCCTTTTTGTTCGCAATACCTGCATTCCATAACATCGTTAGAATTAATTTTACTTTTCAGCAGTGTTCGTCGTCACCGCAAAAACTGTCACTTATGAAAGTGTCACAAAGTGCCAGGCGTATGCATTGTGCTGTGTGACGCTCACGGTTGCGGGGACACGTTACGCGACGCCAAGCTTTCTTGGAGCATTGATGCTATTCCTATGAAAAACAAAGGTGGCGGAGCCATGATCTCGTCAAACAGTGAGCTTCGCAAATGCTGCTGCTATTTATAAAGCGGGCTACAGAGTTTACTCTGAAATGTAATAGATGCATTAATAGATCACAAACTTGATCCGCGGTATTCGGTTAAGACAACGGAGGACGAATATTATCACTTAAAGTAAATATGTCTGACATTTCATGCACCAATACTGCTATATTGTTATGAGACACAACGTAAAGAATACGGAAATTTCGACCACCTGTGGTTTCTTGACGTGCTCCTAAATCTAGGATTCACAGGTATAGAATTTTGCCTCCTCCAGAATGTAGCCGCCATGTCCGAGATCGCACCTACGCGACCTTCGAATTAGCAGCGAATCACCGTAACAATTGAACCGCTGCGGCGGTTTATTATTATCGCTTGAGGGAAGCTTATTCTTCGGGCCACAATTAAGTTCGACCAATCCCGAACTAGCGTTTTTGGCACTGATTAGTGTTTCACCATCATAACAACATGATCATGAATGTTGTGGTGATACAAGCAACTTATTTACCTGTTCTCAAGTCCTTATTCGCAATTTAGGCCATCACGTACTACTGCATTTGCGCTCATAAACATTCGTACACGACACCTAAGCGAGATAAACTCTAATGGGGTTTAACGCCACAAAATCAACTATATGACAACGAGAGAGGCCGTAGAGGAGGGCTCGGAAATTGTAATACTTTGGTTTTTTTTTTTAGCGCGCACTTATATCTAAGTACACAGAGGCCTCGAACATCTTCGCCTCCATTCTCACGTTGACGATATACTTGTTATCAAACAGCGGTGATGCATAGTACTTTCGCGATCTCTGCCAAAGTTCTAAATCAGCGGCTTTGAGAGTTATAATTTCAACCATGGTGAGGAGTCCAACGGTAACAAACAGCGCATAGTGTTAGGAATTTGCTCTGTCGCGATGGTAGCGGTGGCGAAGAGCGGCGAGCCGTCGAGCGGACTTCGATGAAGCCTTAGCCCGAAGGTGAAACAGGGAGGCAATCCGTTTGGAAAACAGCCACAAAAGGAGCGTTTACTGTAGCAGGTTGTCGTTTGTACATAGCCGGCCAGCGCGACAACGTCGGCTGGGGCAAAATCTTCTAACATGGGGCCGGCTCGGCCTTAAATAGCGTTTTTGGTCCATTCTCTCAGACCAGTTCTCGGGCTCGAAGGGGGAGACGTAGCCATACCCGGAACTGCAAAGTGGTCCGGCGGAGGAAGCGACGTTATCCCCGGAACTGCACGGTTCTTCTGCACGGAAGGCGGTGCTGGGAGGGGGGGGGGGGAGACAGTTCGTCGAAACAGGGCTCGATCTTGTGAGACGTGCTCCCGAACGAGGAACATGTCTGTGGCACAACAGCACCCCCGCCGCCAGACAATGCATCCGGAGTTTTGAGCCGTCAGCGCGGCTCGGAAGGAGGGATGCTGGTTGACCATCGGTAGCCGTTCCGCTCTCTCCGCCCGTTGAGACTTCCATAGGCCTGCAGAGGTTCACTGGAACGACGGAGTCGAACACAAAGGCGAACCACTCCGGCCAAAGCAAGCACCCTCCAAATGCTGACCAAGTCGCCAGACCAGCAGACACCAAATGTTTCCTCGTGATTACGCTGGGCTAACAAATAGCATCACGAGCAACGAATCTCGGGAGGAATACATAATGCGGACACACCTTTAGCTAAGTGTCAGTGCATGACACCGCTAAACCAAACAGAATTTTTTTTTATTTCAAGCGATTCTCAATCGTGATTTAGGAAGATTCTGGATGATCGAAGCTTCTGAGGATTGCTCCATTTAGCACCGAAACTACAATTTAGTACGCCGAGCAATCCTGAATCACGCACATTGGCGTCGCCTGCAAGCGTCATATTGTCAACTTAACAAAGTCCGTCCTCCTACAAGCTCTCTTTTCAATGCGCGCAGCCAATATGATCAAAACAAGATAAAACACGCTTGAAAAGTAAGACAATAAGAGTAAAAATTATGAAATAAGAATGAAATAAGAACGAAAGAATGAAACTTGCGTGCGTTACACAAAACAAAGTGAAAGTTAACCTACACTGACACGCTTACCAACGCGTAATGCCAAACAAAGAACGCATTTTAAACAGGCCTTTTACTCAGCCTTCTCTGTTAAATTAAAACACACTGACTGTTACCTTTTTAAATTTTATGAAAACAAAATAATGAAACAAACATGCCAATGCGTGCTTCTCCAATGAGAAGGAAAGTAAAACACAAAAATTCAAACACATTTATTACTGAATGTCTTACGACAAACTAGAAAACAATTTTCAAAGCTGATTACATTGTCCATTCATAGTAATGGCAAAACGGGGCCCCTTTCAGACGAACTCTGGGGAGTCGCGCACTCCACAGCTTCTGAGGGTTGCGGTCTGGACAAAAGGACGACGAATCAACCTGTTCGCCGAACTCAGTAGCAGCGACTTTTGACCCGCAGCCGCTGAACTCGAAGAAAGGGGCATCTGCACTGCATCGTTTACGCCGCCCGTCCGACCAGTGACCCTTTCGCCACGGTGGGGAACAACCGCTTGTGTTACAGCTCAAGCGCTCGCAACGTTTCCCCACTTGCTTGCATCTACAAGGCAGAGAAAAGGATGAGACCAGGCGGTGATTTCGGCGTTCCTATTTCCTTGAATTTCCTTTCTTCGTGACGCGCTTCGCGTTCAATCTAGATCTCAGCAGCGACCTCAATTTCAACTGTTTCTTACTGAGCTTTGACCCAACCCCAGCCCTGATATCGAGTATGGCCTCTAGAGAGCCATGGCGTTTAGCTGCTTTGACAGGCTTGGCGTTATTCGACTTTGCCTTATGTTTTCGCCGGTGATTCTGCCTAATGAAACTGATCGCCGTGCTCAGAGCACTGGTATTCATACTCGCAAGTACACTGCCTTCACTTCGTGGAGTCAAAGCTCCAGACTGGTTAGCTAGCTTTTCCTCGGGCCCGTTGCTAGCTGTCTCTGCTTGCGACAGAACAGGATTCCCGATGCCTTTAAGGCTAACCACCTCGCCTGAAGGTGTCTCTTTAGTTCGTGAGGGTTCTCTCTCCCTTTCCAGGATAACCCATGTTCCCAGGCCTTCGTAGTCTGCATCCTGCTCTATTTGACGCGATTCATCATGATCATGTGCGCTGCGAAGGGGCTCCATCTCCCGCACTTTACGGTGCACCTCCACGTCCTTAGCTATGCGATGGGCCTCGGCTCCTAATTCCTCGCGATGCACCTCACCGTCTGGCTCTCTCCGACGCACTTCGGTGTCTTGCACCTTGTGACGGGCCTCAACGTCAGATGCCTCGCGATTTTCCTCTTCCTGAAGCGCTGAGCGACGGGCCCCCATCGCTTTACTGCGCGCATCGTCCTCTCGCCCTTTTCGGTCGGCGTCTACCTTTAGCGCCTTACCACGTGCTTCAGCGCTGTTACTATCGCTCTGACTTCCAGCAGGACTTGATATGAAAAAGTATTTTATCAAAGCATATCTAGCCTGACTAAAATCTCCTGCTTCCTCGGAGGGTAAACAATTTAATACATGCGCGACCTTGCGCGGCAACAACGTGGCGAGTGTCTTCACTAAAAGGTCACGGCTAACACCCACATTACTGCAAACATCTTCAAAATCATCAAGAAAATGCGCGATGTTTTCGCCTGTCTGAAAGTTGTGGAGCTGGTGTTTCGCTCGCTCCCACTTAAGTGCTTGAATTTTAAGATCAAGCTCTGTCATTTTGAGAGCATGCTCTCTCCTTTTGCGACTTTCCTCGGCCTTACATTTTTCGTGCCTTTGAGCTTCGAGCTCTTCGCGGCTTTGATCGGCCTTCTGCTTTTGCACACAAATAAGCTCCCAAAACTCGTCAGCTTCCTCGGCCGTCACATTCTCTGCCCGCATTACCTCGAGAATCGCTTCCCTTGTTTTAGCGGACCCGGCGGAAATCCCTATGGCTCCACAAATTTCGAGGAGGTCCTGCACCAGGTACTGCTCCATAGCGATCTCGTCCCTCGTGATGCTCTACTACTGATATTCACCGTACTCCATAACTAATCTCGTGGTTTAAAGTATGTGAATATTAAATTATAACCAACAAAACAAGTCAAAACACTCTCCTAACATCTGCCTGTGCTAGAGAGGTCTGGCGAAATGAACAGTAAATGTTGGGCACTCACCCAACCAAAGTAGCCGACGATGGTCCAACTCGTGGCTGCCGTCGAACAGCGTCAGGCCTTCAGGGATCCGGTCCAACTTGTCAATGTTGAGATCCGGGGTTGCTTGTCCCAGCTTGCCGAACGATGAGAAGAGGGTAGCGTATCGCAGCGTAGCCAAACGCTATCACGGCGGTCGTCCTCATGCTCGGAGATCCGATCCAACTTTTCAGCCATTGAGATCGGGGTAGCGGGTCCCAGAGCAGCAAAACATTGAGGACAGGGGTCTGATCCGGCATGCCAAACGTAGGATATCGTATCCCGTAGCTGCCAATCACTGTTAGGAATTTGCTCTGTCGCGATGGTAGTGGTGGCGAAGAGCGGCGAGCCGTCGAGCGGACTTCGATGAAGCCTTAGCCCGAAGGTGAAACAGGGAGGCAATCCGTTTGGAAAACAGCAACAAAAGGAGCGTTTACTGTAGCAGGTTGTCGTTTGTACATAGCCGGCCAGCGCGACAACGTCAGCTGGGGCAAAATCTTCTAACATGGGGCCGGCTCGGCCTTAAATAGCGTCTTTGGTCCATTCTCTCAGACCAGTTCTCGGGCTCGGAGGGGGGAGACGTAGCCATACCCGGAACTGCAAAGTGGTCCGGCAGAGGAAGCGACGTTATCCCCGGAACTGCACGGTTCTTCTGCACGGAAGGCGGCGCTGGGAGGGGGGGGGGGGAGACAGTTCGTCGAAACAGGGCTCGATCTTGTGAGACGTGCTCCCGAACGAGGAACATGTCTGTGGCACAACAATAGATAGCGCGCGCGTGACTTCGCGGTCGCAGCTCTATAACGCACTGGTTCATAAACATGGCGGCGTTGATGACATAGAGGCAGCATAATCACATCGCGCTCGACCTGCTACAGTATGATAACGATGTGGCCCGAATTTTACTGGCTTAAATTTTCTGTCTGTAAATAACGAAAGAACTGATACACCGATAACATAAAAGCATGACGTCACAATATCCGCGTTTTACAACGCAGTGAACTAACATGGCGGTTTCTGTGACGTCAATGCAAGCTATCTATTAGGCGAACACGCCTACGTCTCTACATCAACGTCCCACTATTGCTCTATTTGTTCCCCTTCGTTACGAACCAACCAGAACCCTAAGGTTAAGTGCTGGGCTCAGTCCTAGTGATAAATCTTGATAAAACCACTTGATAAAAAGGGTGACAAGCAAAAGCCATGGAATGAAAGAAGAAGACTGCTCGAAAATGATCCAGGCGTTAGTCAGAAGCATAATCACGTTTGGGACACCGTATGTAGATAGGATAAATAGCCAGAGGATTAAAATTAACATTCTTATCAGAAAAGTTCACGAGATTGCCATGGGCCTGTCGCCTTCTGCATCCGCGGAAAAGTAGCTCAAAACGGTAGTGCGCCACACATAGGAAGAGCTCATGGAAGCACCCCATGTCAACCAGCTGAGGAAACTGCAGCAGACGAATACGGGTAGAGCCCTACTCCAAGATTTGGATTACCACATCGAGGGTGACATGCACGTCCCTCAGCGTGATCAGAAATAATTTACACATAAGCCATATACCAAGGAACATGCTCCCCGTATACGACAAAGGAAGAAGACAAGACAGGATAAAACTGCTCAAGCAGATACTACAACGCATCGACAGCAATGAAGAAAATGTGAGATACACAGACGCAACGGCTTACTTTACAAATGACCGTTTTATTATAAGCATGATCGACGAGAGCGGCAAAGGATTGAGAGCAGCATCCATGCGTGCGAAGGACGCGAGTATATACAGCGGAAGAGCTGGGCATAGCCCTGGCCATCACTACATGCAAGAAGACGCGGGCTACCGTGGTAACAGATTCGCAAGAGTCGTGCAGAAGATACACAAGCAGAAAGATCGGAAAGGCAGCATTACACGTACTAAAAAGCACCGAGATGGACAAAACAACCATCCTTTGGACACCGGGACATGAGTCTCTCGCGGGAAACCAGGTGGCGCACGCCACGGCTCGAGATCATGCCCGCCGAGCCATCTCCGACACTCTGGGAACACGTACCGACAGCTGTCACGACGAGCATGAGCGCACAGCGAAGAAGTACGCAGACATTTTGGCACACTACAGGAAGCAGAGGAAGTGGTACCCGCCGACACACAAGAGCCTGAGTAGGGAACAAGCAGTGATATGAAGAAGACTACAATCCGGAACTTACCCGCACAAAACATTGATTCACGCAATGTATCCAGGGACCTTCCGTCGGGACCGCAAGTTTCGCCCTCCAGACACGCGCAACATTTTGCACCACATGGTGCTGGAGTGTCGCAACAATCCACACATACCACCGTGGTCACCGCCAAGTGCAAACGCGAATGAAGGGGAAGAAACTTATCGAGAGGAAGCATTCTAAGACCAGTGGGAGGCTTTGCTGGTGACGCAGGACCTTGACAAATAGATACGATTGGTGAACCAGGCTCGAGCGGCGGCAGCGAGTCATGGCTACCTGGACTGAGGAGGCCACCAACCTTAGGGCTCAGTTACAAAGAGCCTCGTACAAATAAAGCTCATTTCATTTCAAGTATTTGCATTACCATTTTTCAGCGACATCTGCCCCTTTTCCTGTGGTTCTTATGACAAAGTATTTTAGAAAAATAATCACGCGTGTTTTGTTTCTTGTGATTTTTTTGCACTAGAAAACATTAAATAAACCAGTCGATTACACTTCTGCAGAATAGTTCGGAAAACTGACGCAGTTGCGTCCGTTCAGTACATAATCTTAAGACTCTGTCATAGCCACAACGACCGCTTCAACACCCGCAATGAGATGCGAAACGATTTATCTGGGAAATCATATTCGTCAGAGTGGAAACACTCCAATACATAAGCACTGTTTTATTCATAGTAGTCGAGCGCATGGTATATTGTTATAACCTAGCGTACAACTATAATTCCAACTGCAATGTGAACTTCTTTCTTCAGACGATAAATTCAGACCGCAAGAACTTTTTTTATGCGGCACCTGCACCATTCCAGCTACCACCATACAGCGGCAGAACGTTTGCGCGTCTGTGCCAGATAGTTACCCGGTACGGTTAGACTTATTGGTGTTCATAATAATGATAACAAAATTGTGGTGTACTGACCTGCTGAAAGTAGGTCTGGTCTGGTGCGACGTACTTCTGCCAAATCGGAGGCCACATGGTGACGCAACGGTCTTTGTACGGGGCAGGAAGACGCTCCATCATCCTCTGCATCCATGAAGAATGACGTGTACGTCGGCAGCATGCAACTATACAGATAGAGACATCACTACTCATTTCGCGTCTTTGAATGGCATTTTGACGACAATCTATCCAGTTGAATTGGTATTTGGTATTATGGATTCGCATGAATTGGTATTTTAACGACCATCTAATTTATCTAGTTGCAGGCGCTGTAGTGCAACGCAAGGAAGGATCGTGAAAATGGTCGTATTCTAGACAGTATAAATGACCAGGAAGATAGAAAGAAGTCAGCATATGATATATATATATATATATATATATATATATATATATATATATATATATATATATATATATATATATATATATATATATATATATATATATATATATATATATATATATATATGGTGGGGTGATATTCAATGGATCCGGTGTAAAATGCAGTATAAAAAGAGGTCGACAAACGTGCGAAAAAACACTAGTTTTACTAACGTTTCGGCAGGTGGGCCTGCCTTCGTTGGAGTGAATGGTTACACATGGCACACAGGGCACATATATAAGCCGCTTCTTTGCGTATCACACGGCTAAGTCATTATCAGTACTATAGGAAACAAGATTATATATCACCAAAGGTACGTGGCTATAGTGTATATACAGCTGGAATCGGGTTTTAAATCACACCATGAACGCGAAGTAAAAGAGTCATTTTTAATTCATAAATTCAAAACACTATCTGCCGGCATGAACGAGAGCCCGGGTACGCTTACTTGCATATTGCCTTAGTAAATCGCTTTTTTTTGTTTTACTGACAAGTGTATATTCTTCGCACGATGTTGGCCTATTGTCAAATATTACCTACATAATGTAGGTGGCCTTTGTCGCTTCACCATTTACTCGCATTCATTTTGCTCTGCTTGCTTTGTGATTTTGTTTATCTCTCTAAACTTATTTTTCTTTTTTAAAGGCTTACTGAATGTTTTTAGGCTGTGTTTATTCCGCAGAACGTATGACCAAGTGAGCTACTGCGTGCGCAGTTTGTTATTTTGCTGACCTGTTTCATTCCACACAAGTTGTATGGTATCTAATACGTGCCAATTCACTATTGTATAATGATACGCGTTTTCAGCTGTATATACACTATAGCCACGTACCTTTGGTGATATATAATCTTGTTTCCTATAGTACTGATAATGACTTAGCCGTGTGATACGCAAAGAAGCGGCTTATATATGTGCCCTGTGTGCCATGTGTAACCATTCACTCCGACGAAGGCAGGCCCACCCTCCGAAACGTTAGTAAAACTAGTGTTTTTTCGCACGTTTGTCGACCTCTTTTTATACTGCGTATATATATATATATATATATATATATATATATATATATATATATATATATATATATATATATATATATATATATATATATATATGTATCAGAAGTGAGCAATTGGTAACATAAAACTTAATACTTTATAATGGCGAGCGGGATGCGTGATGGGCTTATAACTCGGTGACTAAAATTGGCCCTAATGAAATGTGAGCCTTCTTATACCTCACACGACCATGCTCGTACTTTAAGTTTGTGAGAAAAAAATATTTCCAAAAATACAGTGTTCGAGAGTGCAAACGTCACACGTCATGTGACAATTTTTCTGCGAACGATGATGCACCTGCATATGCGTTCGCCAGATAGCCTTAGTAATAACCGTGCTTTCTTCGGTACATTTGGCTTATTTAGCCTTCCGACACATTCTAAACAGCATGCGAAATCGCGGAAATTGGGACACCGCTTTAACGTGCCGGCCTAACTACAATATACGCCGCACAAAAGCCTGATGGCCGCCATCAAAGCATCGCCCTCAAACGTCGTCAAGCTATTGTAATACGCAATGCTTCACTTTTTACCACCGTGCGCTTTCTAACGTGACCGAAGTACATTTCAGCCGTAATCGTTTTTTTTATTGATTCTCTATTTTCCCGTAGTCTGGCATCGGTAAACTAACAAAATAAAACGCCCAGCACCTATATAAGATTTGAGCCCAGGTAAACAGCCCAAATAATGTCAGTATCATCCGTGCAAAAACGGCCAGCACTACTGTCCTAATTTATTGTTTCTCATCTTCATTGCCTGTCGAGAAATGATGCAAGCTTGGGGTTCGACTACAAGTTTCTGGTTGCATAACGTAATAATATGTGCTCACCATTACAGAAACAGTGACATCAGCAATACGCGTGTTGTTTTTTATGCAACCACATGTAGTTATCGACCCCATAGCAACGATTCGCTGCTGATAACTGCAAGGACTAATTAACATCTGTACTATTTATCTGTATGAACAGTATCAAGCGCAATTTAAAACGGGTGCCAAGTACGCTAACGTACCACATCACTGGCAGAATTGCCGCGCGGTCACGTTCCGAAACGGCCCCATTTGATCACGTGACCACACCAAACAGTGACGCCAGTTTCAGCTGACATTTCGTCTGCCAGGTGAGCACGTGTAGCCATGTATCCCTCACTACCTCAATCATCGTCAACACCGTCAACATTGTTTGCAAGTACTCATTGAAAGCACTGAGGAATCGGGGGCCGCTGCTAATTCACCGCCGCGAATGATTTTTGCTTCGATACTTCGCAAATCAGCGATTTCGAAATCGACACCCGTTCGAGTAGCAAAGAGGAGGCACCTGGTGTGCATAAAGTTCCCCGTGTGACCGAGGCATAAGACTACGTTCGCCATAACTTTGTTTAGGAAGTTTATCACAAGCATGTTTTCTATGTGTCCTATATATATGCAGAACTTCCCCAATTTCATTTTCCAGTTCCTTAATTTAAGCTTGTTCATTTCTGATGTTATGCAGGTGCCACTATAATCACCTAACAACTAAAGTTACTGTAATCAAGTTACCCAAAGGTAGCATATACATTATGTCTCTACCAGCGACTGCTGTACACAAAGCTCACCATTTCGATGCCGATGTAGGTGGTCATGAGTGGTGACAAGTACATGCCGTCTTCGTTGGGGTCGGGACTTACCCCGCGCCTGTGCACCATTACGATCATGCCCATTTCACTGCTGGAGCGCAGGTACTCTTCTCTCTCGATGTCCAGAACCAGAGTCAAACCTGAGCAGAACGTTGAAAGACCCTGCAGTGCCATGGCGTCAGCTCTGTGTTCACGAGACCACTTGTGATATGCGTTCTGATACGCGCATTTCATGTGGCTCATTTTGCTTTGCGAAATTTTTAGAACTTAATTTTATTGGTATATTGCAGTGGCGGCAAAGACACTGGCCATGCCTTTTCTTTTGTGTTTAGGAGTGAAGCTCCTTAGGCTCGCCCTCAGCCGTTGTCGTCGAGTTTCCTTGTGCCGGGCAAGCGCGCCGAGCAAAACAACAAGTGCGCGCTCCCGGCAGGTGGCTCGTGCTGCGCCGCGCGCGCCGCACACTCAGTCGATCAGTCGTTCTCGCTACCGAGCGCAGCAAACAATCTCCCCAACCGCTCACCACCTTACCCCGTTCATAAAAGACAGCAGCGAGATCAGGCGCAGTCGTTTGCGTGCCATTTCTATAAGGAGCTTCGCTCACCGGTTGTATTCGTACACAAAAAAACTGCTACTGTGGGTGAATGCCTGTTTCTTTATATCTCTTTCTCTCTATGTGTATTTATTTCCCTTTCTATAATTTTCGCTCTTTTTTTTCCTTTTCTTACTCTCGAATTCTCTGTCTATCTATTCCTGTATTCGTTACTGCGCCTTTTCTCTTTTTCTCTTTCCGTTCCCTTTCTTTCTGTCCGCAGTTCTTTCTATCTCCTTCCTTCTCACTCTTTCTCTTTCCCTTTCTGTACTCATTGTCTCGTCCATCAAAGTTATTGCATCCCACGTCGGACAAACAGGTGCACGTTTTGTGGACGTGTCTGTTCATAATCCTAAGTGGGTTTTTTTTTTTTTTGCCGACCCATGCGCATCAAGAAAAGCTTGAAAGCTCGGCTGTAACATTTCATCCAATCCTGATGGTGTAAATATCATTTGTGAAACCAGCCCGCTAGAATAGCAAAGAGCGTTTTTAAATGAACACTTTCGTAAATTTCGACCCAAATTCAGAGGTGTGGTCATTGGTTGTTCACTTTCTAGTCAGCTTCGACAGCGAGTACAACATGCACATCTGATTTATATAGGTCGGCCAACTCACTCATGAGCCGATTCACTCAGGCTCACCGAGACTTGGATATAGCATGAGCCTAACTCTGAGTGAGTCAGAGTGAGTAACAACTTGTCGAGTCTCAGAGACTACGATAGAGAAGAATTTCAGTGAGTCTGAGTACGAGTGAGTCAGGTTAAGGAAAACTTTGACGAGTGTGAGTCCTAGTTCGCCCGTAAGGGCGAGGTATGAGTGAGTTCGAGCGAGGTTCACATTGTTTTGCCGACCTCTCGTCCTATCTGCCCAACTTCAGCATTACCATCACCCTTATTCATGTCGACTTACGTTTATATAAATTATGTCTGCTCCCACATCAATGCAGTAGTGAATTCATACGCCGGCTCAATATCAATTGAACAGATGCGTGAGTTACGGAGGAAAGAAGTTTATTGACCCCCCCCCCCTATTTTTTTCTTTCACACGAATGCCTTATGAAAAACATTTCACGTGAGTAATCACTTTATTAAAAATGTCCTTAGTAGATATCAACCCCTGGTAGCTCATATCTAAAGATACGAGACCGAAAACGCCCATTAGGGCACTGATTATGCGAGACATCGGTGTTAAAAAGCATTGACACCTTGTACGAAACAGGTAATAGTCCGCTAACGGGCTCATGAGTCGCCCCACTCAGACTCAGATAGAGCCGTGAGTTTGAGTCTGAGTGAGTCCAAACAGTAATATTTTGCTGAGTCTGAGTTCGAGTGAGTCTTGCTGAGCAAAATATCCGTGAGCGCAAGTAGGAGCGGGCCCTAAGGGCTAGGCACGTTCCACGAGTTAGTGTGAGTGAGTTCTTAAACTTCTTTTGCCGACCTATGCAGGATGTTACACATATTCCGTAATGGCGTTTTCTTTTAGACTTGCCGCTTTCTTCTCTAATTATACAGGCATCTGGGTAAGGTATCGTACCAGGATAGTTTTCACTCACCATCAACAGGCAAGTTGCTCGCTTGGTAGGAGATCTTCGAGGCATTAAAATTTGAGCAGAAGATGCAGTAGCACAGTCCGAAGGTGGGGTTTGTGCTTGTTTCGTACATGCTGCAAGAAAAAGGGTGCCAAAGGCGAGACTCTGCGCTTCAATCAAAATAAAAAAACTTGAAAACAAGGTTTATACAAAGAAAATACAAAACTCGCCCGTCAGGAGAAGACATCCCGCAAGTCTTATATAACGCTACAATCTCGCAAGCTATCAAAATCAGCAAAGCAATGTTAAATTCTAGAAAAATATAATTGCGGTTTGATATTGTCTTTAGAAAGAACTAATAAGCATATACAAACTTGTGCGTTCAAAAGAGGTCCAACTTCCTTAGTGCATAAAAAAAAACCTGCATTCATTCTCTTGTTTCCAAAGTGCATTTCAAATCCGAACCTCATGCCTATATCTACTCCTCTATCTTCAGTATTGATTTTCCTTCGTATGCACAGCTGCACAGAATGAAGGCTCTCTAGCTCCCGAGTACGGCTTTGCCGCCGTTTCGCTGGAAGTCTGAAGTATTGTGTTACGTAAAGCTGTCTTATTCAAGAAGACACAACAGCAGCAAAGCAACGGAGGTAAATATTACATCAAGCACCATCAAGTCAGCCTAATAAGTTATAAGTTTGTAGGCCCGTGTGCTCAGATTTGGGTGCACGTTAAAGAACCCCAGGTGGTCAAAATTTCCGGAGCCCTCCACTAGGCGGTCTCATAATCATATCGTGGTTTTGCGACGTTAAACCCCACAAATCAATCAATAAGTTATAAGTGCACACTATGAGTGGCCTTCTATATTATCTATTCTGATTATAAAAAAATTCAGCACTTCACACGCCTCTGACACGTGCACTTATCGTTTAGGGTATCACTTCACCATGCTTTATGTTCGGCATTTTCCCACGGAGAACACAATTGCCTAAGGGCCGTAGATTCGTTGAAGTTGCGTAGTGCAACTGCACTCTAGCAATAGTTGGTAGTTGATGCAATTATTTACAAGGTTCTATTTCTCGTGTACAGCGCATAAGGTGGTCTCATTTACGTTTCTGCCAATTTTATAACCAGATTCACTTCCACGGCTGAGTTCAGGACGGGCATGGTTCAAATAAGCAACCGCAATCGCTGGAGTTTTTTGCGATAGACGCTAAAAAGCAGAATACACCCACACACACAAAATAGAGTCAAACATGTCGGTGCTATATAGATTAAAGAGGGATTTCTCTAAACCCGGAATTCTTTCAACTGGACGCTAGAATACCACCGTCTCTCCCACCGCTAGCAATGCGTGTGGCCGACCTAATAGTCGAGCTGCATGCAAGGCACGCAGAGTGGCATGTTCCGAACGCCATAAAAAAAAAAGAACTTTCTGGTGCCGTTCAGCGCTCAAAAGTTGATATTCGAGCTTCAACTACATAGACCATCGACGGGGTGGCAGTCGGTGCGTTTTTCAAATGATGTCAATCTGCACATTCTTCTTAGCGACTCAATTCTTTTTCTTATTTGTATATACCCGTATCTATTTCTCATGAACACCGCCTGACACGCACAGATGCGTGTGGGGTGGGCAGAGTCATGAAGAACGCCGTTCGCTGGAATACTTGTCCCCACGCTGCATGCCTATGCAGAGCCGTGATGTTTCACTTGAATACTCGGCAAAAGGAAACAGAGTAGTCGGTACCATTTGAAAGTCACAAATTTTCCTTGAAGAGACGGAATTCTCAGGATCAGTTGCACAAACTGACTGCTTGGAAAGCGCATATATGCTTTCGCATGGAAAGGAAGCCGAGTTCAAAGGAGCTGGTATCAAAAGCGCGCCTTTTGTAGAGCGTGTTCCTTCTAATATGTGATGCCGAAAATCTTAAAGATAATTTCAAGAACTTTGACAGATTCCGGTGAGAGCACTGCCGGGACGTTGTGTTGCACGGATGCAAACTCATCTTTTGACAAGCCTGCCGCTCCCACGGAAGATTTTATTATTACAATTTAGCTTGAATATAAACTTTCAACGCGCTGTGTTACAAAGGGCGCTACACTGCATAACGTCTTCGTCAAAAGGAGTGTCTTTGAAGATGGAAATCAAACGTTTCGATGTGCGAGGCATTCATCTTTCAAGGAGCGCGGCTTGTTGGTTATAGTCAACCATTGGCCGGAATTGGCAGTGCGTTTTTTTTTCTTCTACTGGCTGTATATATATAGAGAGAGAGACAATAACAGGAGGGAAAGGCATGAAGGTTAACCAGAAATTGGAGCATCCGGTTCGCTACCCTGCACTATATAGGGATGGAAGAATGGGGAATAAAGATGGGAACGAAAGCAAAGAGCGAAGTAGGCGCGTGAAGGAGAAAACAAAAAAAAAATCAGCTGGGGTGCTATAGTTTATACCACGCAAAAAGTTTAATAAGGCCTTCATTGATTTTCTGTGCGAAGACAGATTATGTCGCCTTTCAAGCACTCATTGTTCTGACAAGGGTCTCTCGTCAAGACGTGCTAACGCAGCAGCTAGCTGCCTTCTTTGCACGCTGTAATGAGGGCAGTGACAGAGAACGTGCTCTATCATTTCATCGCTCCCGCAATCGTTGCAAGCAGCACTGCATGCTCTAACAATCTACTGCCCTGCATAATACTCTATTCCGACCAACAGCTGACGATTGAGGCAATATAGGCGGTTACGCGTTATAGTCGATGACGACGGTATACACACAAATGTAATTAAATAGAATGAATGCTTTCGGCATTCCGATCATGGTCACTACAGAGGTTTCATTAACGTGAACCTCCGGGACGCGTGCTGGCACTCGACCAGCGCAAAGGGGAGCTGCGGTCATCATCAGGTGTCGCAATCGCTTAACCTCGGTCGCCGAGCGTCGCCTAATGCGATTTCGCTGCTTTTCCGCATTGACCAGCTGTGGCGCACAAACGACCTGGCCATGGGGCCTACATCGTCAAACTTCTGAGTTGTCACGTCGTCAATCTCTTGCGCCACTAATCGCATCCCGCACGACGTGCGTGTTGCGCATCTACCACGCGTACATATCTCTATCGGCGTCGTAAGCACGCGTGTACACCGCAAAGGTGGCGCTGAATTAGGGCGGTGAAATCACCATATGCCGCGAAATCGACCCATGTTGCCGCCTTGTCCCTGTTCGACCCCGCGATGCGACGGCCAATATTAACGCTGCACGGCGTTGTAACAATAGCGATGCTCATGACTAGCGCGGCAGATGCTACTTTGGTTTGAAATTTGAGTATTTGGCGTTTGTGCAAAGTCGAAAGCTTTTGGTGTCGCATCAAACGACAAAAGTGACTAATGGCGGCGTCAACATAAGTGACGTGAAAAAACGTCATTTTGTGATGGCGTCATCGTATGACGTCATTATGACGCTACAGACCGGCCAACTTCCGATGTCATTATATAACATCGTCGCTCAATCAAAGATGCGCCGACCTCGGAGGCAATGCAAAACTACGTGAGGTGCAGGAAGCTCCCTATGCTTCGAATCCCGGAGCCAGAGCGAAATTGAGAGACGAAATTTTTCAGGGAGGGAGAAGGTGTATCAGTACAATAGACTGAGGAGAATATGGCTTTCACCTTAGAATCTTCTTAGGCAAGTGCACAAAGCAAAAAATTCAAGTGTAACATTGCACTTACAGATGTTTATGAAGCACTATCATAATTCATTGTTTTGTGGTTTTATCAACGCGGCACCACACGTACTCAATACCCTGCACATTTCTGACAATTCTAACACAACAGTACACGGTATTTCACACTTTCATAACAAGCTCAGGAGAACTGTGGCCTCCAGCATAAAGAAGTTTAACAGAGCACAAGCATCCACGCTCCGCATGCTCCAAAACAGTCATCTTAACCTATAGCATTTCTCGACATCGTTCATCCCGTCATCAGCTCAGACTGTGGCCTTAGACCCCGTCAGCTCAGATTTCGGCGAGTTTCACAGTCTAGATCACGTGCTCTGATGGTGTCCGTCATTTCGGGGTCCAAATAAAATCAACAAGAACTTGAGCTCCGATCAACGGATCTCGGGACTATTCCCTCATATCTGGGCAGTCTAGAGGGCCCAAGATGCGGCGGTTACTTGGCCTATCTATCCACACGTGGCCCAGGACAGGCCGGACATACTTCGTTCGGACGGCCTGCCTTTCTCTCAAGACCCTTGGTAATAAAGTTCAACGTATCCGTATTTCCATGTGAAGCATGATGGAGCAAGCGACAAAATCAAATGCCACGTTCGCCATGTGACTGATCGTACCTGTCATCGAGGCAGCTCTCTCCCTTGACGGTGCAGTTCAGGACCATCCTCTGCTTAGTGTGTCCAAGAGCAAGCAGTGTCTGGCTGTTGTTGTACTTCCGCGCGACGTTCAGAAACGGGTACAACTCCTCTGTCGTGAAGTTGTGTACCATGTTGATATCCTGCAGTGAGGCGCACGGAACGGGTAAACAAGCCGTGCATGTGAGGATCGCGCATGTAGACAGGAGAAGGCAATAGATATATAGAAAAACAGCTTCGAAAAGTAACCGCAAATACCATAGCCACTCACATTCTTGCAATTACTTCTTAACAACGAAGCTGTTGAAGCATTCGTTCCGTCGTTTCAGGTGACCAGAAAGCTAAGCTGCGCGTGCAACGCAATAACTCGTTTTATTCATCTTAGAATTGACTATAAATAAAGACAGTTTGCTCTAGACGCTTTACATTTGAGAAATGAGGACAGTTATAGTACATTTCTTTCTCTTACGCATAGTATAAAATATATATATAGCTTGACGAATAATGAGATGATATGGAAAGTTGGGAGAGCTGGTTTGAGGACATTCTTAAAAACATTTCAGCATGCAAACAGTAGACTGGAAAACGGAAGGCGAGAAAACAAGCAGTTTAGCGCTTGTTTTCCTTCTCGCCTTCTGTGCCATGCGCCACATGCCGCCCTGCCAGCGCTCCCGCTGCCATAGTTTTGCTCGGCGCGCTTGCCCGACGCAGGGAGCTTCGACTGCGTCGGTTGATTACGGGCCTAAGGAGCTTCGTTCCTAATAAACTTCTTTAATGAAGCCGTTCGATCATTCCTCGTTAAATTGCTGCAGGGCGTCTTTAAGTGTGCGCTATCACGTGAGCTAAAGATCCGTCAATTTCATTTAAAAGTTCCGATAGAATGGACCGCATAAATTGAGAAGTAGAGATACATATCAGAAGCAAGCGAAGCAGGCGAGCCATTGTTTATACACGTCTATGATAAACAAAACAAAAAAAACAGAATAGGATGTCGAAGGTAATCGTAGCAGTGCTTCGAACAGTGCCTTATTCGAGGAACTATATGTATTCACATTTACCATGGGATCAGTTTGGTCACAGAGGATGTTCCTTATGGTACCGTTGATCACGTCCAGCGTATTCGGCGAGCATACAGCAGATTTCCTGAGAGGGTTCAGGTTGCAGAACGTGACAGCGGGCAGTTGAAGGCTGTTGCCTTCGGTCATTGATATTGATACGATGTCGCGGTATTCGAAATGGTTCTGAAGCGTTTTCCCTGTAATACAACACACGGCCAGTTGAGAATTAAACATTTTTGCATTCACCTTAGCAGGAACATGCTTACAGCGACAAGAAATTCTCAGCATTTACACTAAAAAACAATGAAAAAAAAAAGAGTCCTTAGGCTCTTTCTTGCCACTTCTATGAATCTCACATATACAACTCTCTTTGAATAGATACGTGAACTCTCTTTTGAAGAGTCATGCGTTCATGCTCTCTCCAAAATAGAACAAACATGCCTCTTTATAAAGAGTGGTACACGTGTGAGATATATACGCGGCCAAAAAGCCTAAGTACTCCCTCTCCACTTGTTTTTTTCTGACAGTGCAGGCGCGATGGTTATTTCTGACGTTTAGCAAAACGTCATAAAACGAATTGTTTCCCGTAGGTAACATGCCAATGCTAATTTACGGATGTTTTGCAGCACATCTGCTTCGAAGGCTGAATGAAGCAACTGGGGAAACGAAGATCATAAATTGATAGCTTGAGTAGAGTATTCTCGAAAAGGAACTAGCCAATTACAGTGCAGTGACCTGCCTGAGCCTCTGTAGAATTTGCTGCTGAGCAAGTTTGCTGCATTCTAGACCATACGCGAGCGCATGACAGGGAAATGAATACTGAAGAAGACTTATGAAAGAAATATGTCCTGAGCTAATCGGTCTATGATCGATTAGCGTCATATCTTTTGTTTCTTAGTATTTCTATTTCATACATTTCCTTGTCGTTATAAAACGTACTCGTTACTTAAGTTCTCGACAAACGTCTGACAGTCGTTTCACGAAAGCAGATTTTATATGGTTTAGCTCCGTATTTTGCCTCGACAGACTCATACAGTTATTCAGAAGGGTAGTACTTGACTTCGTGCTGCTGAGCTTCGGAGAGCAGATTCTGCACTGACATCGTTTTATCGGTGCCTATCACGTTTCGGCGTCGCCTTCTCTAGTCCTGGGTGTGTCCCGTCCTAACAGATGCCCATGAAACCACGTTGCATAAAGCCAGTAATAACTAGTTCAACTAGTTCAGCTTAGTTTTTGACCATGCAGCCTTGTCCAATGGAATACACAAGCCAACCCACGGGTGTGGTCCACATTGTATGAAAGACAAATCGCATGGTGACGGCGTGTTCACCCGACATTTCTTCGCATTTGGAGAAGAAAGCAACAAAAGAGAGAAGGCAGGGAGGTTAACCAGAAAGACATCCGGTTGGCTACCCTACACTGGGAGATAAGGGGAAGGGGACAAGAAAGATGAGAAAGTGGGAAGAGAGCGAAAAGAAAAAAAGGTGGGGGGGTGCATTTATTTTGGCATTGGCATAGGGGGGTCATGCTAATCGTTTCTGTGCCGTTCCAATTTTAGTATATGTGCACTTTATGTAACATTCCAATTTTAGTACATGTGCACTTTGGAAGTTATAACCTCGCTCTGCACAAGTAAATCTGAGCTGTACGGCGTGCCTGCGACCGGGACGGTGTACAAGAGAGATGTGATTCTTAAGTGAAACGAAGATAAAAGTGAGCCCCGTAACTGCAGATGTCTGCATCATAGTGCGACACATCAACAGTACCTCTCGAGGTATGGGGGTAAGGAAAGGAAGGATTGAAAGGTATAGAGATAGAGAGATGAGAAAGGAGAGAGCATGGCGTAGGGACAGCCACATATGGAAGATAGGAAAGATGGACACGGTCGCAAGAGTCCAAGGACGGGGCACCACTCGGCGAGAGCTCTTGTCAGCGTCAGGAGATGGCGTAGGCCGAGCCAGTCGGCCAGAGCTGCGCTGTCGTCGGAGATCGCAGGGGCACAACCGGTCGGCACGAAATCCAGCGAACGAGTCCGGGACGGTGGACCAGCTCCCTGGATTTCGTGCCGACCGGTTGTGCGCCCGCGCGCTCCGCGCGCTCGCGACCTTCGGCGTCATCGTATAGCGCTGGCCGACTGGGCTCGTCCTACGTCATCTCCTGTCGCCGACGACCTTCGACGACAGCGCAGCTCTGATTTACTGGTCCTGCTCTACGCCATCTACAGACGCCGACACCATCTCTCGCAAGTGTACCCCGTCCTCGGACTCCAGTGACCGTTCTTCCATCTTTCCTGTCTCTCCTATCCCCTCAGTTTGTTGTTGCTTCTTCTTCCTCTTTCCTATACCTTTCCTTCTACCCTTTTATCCCTCATTACCCCCATCCCTTTGTGAGCTCTGTGGCGGTGTCGCTCACTGAAGCAGACAATAACAGGGCTCACTTTTCTCTTCCTTTCTCTCAAGAACCACTTCAGACCTGCCAATACACGCGTGGGACTAGCAGGTTGCGCGACCAGTTCGTGTTCTCGCCGGGCGTCCCATAGTTATTACACTCGCTCGATCACATCGTGCGCAAGCGACCAATGAGAACGCAGCTGCCCTTAGTTCGAGGCACGTGCGCACGGTAACCGCACACGTGCCGGTGAATCGAGCAGGCGGCTCACCGATGCTGATGACGGTGACGACGAAGAAGACGACGTACACGGTGCAGAATATCCAGAAGCGACATCGGTTCTCGATGACCACCAGCCGGTCGATTCCCGTGGTGGACTCGGCGAACAGCTCCTTCAGCTTTCTCCAGGGGCTTCTTCTCTTGAGCCTTGAGACGACACAGCCGCGCGGCCAGCCGGAACCGCAGCAAGAGGCGCCGTCGGCGTTCCAGGGCCGCCGCTTGGACCTGGCTGCTGTGGTTGAATTCGCCATCATCATCACCGTTATTATTATTATTATTATTATTATTATTATTATTATTATTATTAGTATTATTAGTTTCATTATATTGTAGTAGTAGTAGTGGAAGCGCTAGTATTGTTGTAATAGTACACTCTAAAAAATTGTATAAGTGACTTCCTTTGGAATAGGCTATTTTACGGACAGGTTTGAGTGCCGCCATATCGGGCTGTTAACCTTTGTGTTTTGTATCTTCAACAACTGAATTAACAGTCTTGCGGTAGACGCATGCGCATGAACACGGTTGGGTTGGTGCATACAGTATTTCATTACGTTAAACGCCACGACATGCAAAAACAAGAATACACCGACACAGCCCAAGATGGCGCCGCCCAGATGTGTTATTGAAAATAGTCTATATGAATGCTTAAAAAGGCCCGTTAACTCTCTTGTGACAACCCTTAGAAGAGAATAATATGACCCCCGAAGAGAGTTGACGTGACTCCTTTAGAAGAGTGTTGCACATGGCAAGCCAGGATTCTCAAAAAAGTCCAAGGACTCCTTGTGTGTGTGTGTGTGTGTGTGTGTGTGTGTGTGTGTGTGTGTGTGTGTGTGTGTGTGTGTGTGTGTGTGTGTGTGTGTGTGTGTGTGTGTGTGTGTGTGTGTGTGTGTGTGTGTGCGTGTGTGTGTGTGCGTGTGTGTGTGTGTGTGTGTGCGTGCGTGTGCGTGTGTGCGCGTGTGTGTGTGTGTGTTCGGAATGGGAAATACGTGTTCATACTGTTTTGTTCCAGTAATGAAAGTACGAGCGTAGGGTTGTAATCTGAACACTCCTGTCTGCTACTGGGGGAAGTGATTTTTAAGTGCAAAGAAGAGAAAAGTGAGCCCCGTAACTGTCTCTCAGGGGGAGGACACCTCAACAGTAGCTAACGAGGGATGGGGGCAGGGAAGGGATTAAAAGACTAGGATTAAAAGGTAAATAAATAGAGAGAGAGGAAAGAGAGAGCAAGGCGCAGAGACAGCGAACGACGGAAGTAAGGAAAAGACAGGAAAGACGGACATGGCTGCAGGAGTCTGAGGACGGGGCACCACTGGCGAGAGCTCTTGTCGGCGTCAGGAGATAGCGTAGGGCAAGTCCAGTAGGCCAGCGCTACGCTGTCGTCGAATATCGGCGTCAGGAGATAGCGTATGGCCAGCCCAGTCGGCTAGATCTACGATGACGTCGGAGATCACGAGGGCTCAACCGGACGGCACGAAATTCAGCGAGCGACTGTGTCTGCTAGTACTGCAATCCGGCCTTCGCCATACAGTGACACGACCAGCTATGACCACTGGGTACATGGAAACACATTCTACAAGACGTTGCTTCACCTGACACGCAACACAGGGCTTACAGCACGCATCTAATCCACATATAAACACAACTTGTTATGCCTCAAGGGTAAATCTATATCGCAATAATGAAAAAAATAATAATATAGCCGTGAAGACCAGCGCGCTGCACAAACGTGATGCGGCTAAAACAATACGCGCACTTTTTAACTTCCCGTAACTATAGGAACGAATATTTGAATTCGCCTCAATACAATATGCGCGAACCCATATAGTGTTTTACAGTGTTTCTATAATGTTTATACAGGCTGCCCACACTGCTATACGTCTGTCCTGTTCCTTGTCAAAATAATAAATTTCCGGACTTAGCGCTTCAAAATTGGGTCTGGTATGATATTGATGGACGTGTATAGTGGAAGGCTCTGGAGTAATTTAGATAGCTTATAACAATGGTTATGCAACATGCACCTAAATCCAAGGACGCGGGTGTTTCTGAAGTTCGCCAACTCTGAAATAAACACAGCCGCCATGGCCGGGAATAAAACCAACAAACTACAAGAGAACGGAACATTATTCACTGAGCCCTTTCACTGTTTACAAGCACAGGCTTTTGATGACATCGGGTTTTGTCCACCGATGTGCCTGGATAATCTTGGTGGACAATAAGAATCTTAAAAAAATATCCCGATGATTTCCTACAGTTTCCTTCCCCTTTTTTTGGCAAAATATACTTAAATAAATGTTCTTTTGAGCTACATAAAAATTATAAAATATTCTCTTGTACGTTAGAGAGACTAAACGAAAGAAAAACGAGAGACTTTCCTTACCCTTGAAATAACGGTAAACGTGCTTTCAGTTTTGACGTGAGGAGCTGGTAAATGAAATGACCAGAAGTTTTTTTTGTGTGTGTGATCAACGCTTTCAACACTGAAACCATCTATACGGCAGGCCATTGTTCGTGTAATGTGCGCCACGTCCATAGAAACAAGGGGTGAACAAATAGTTAAAATGTCTTACACGTACGTCCTCTTGCGTCTGGCCACGATAACAAAAACAATTAAAAATATCTTCGAGTGCAATTAGCATTTATTAGTCCGCGAAAACCACCTTGCTTCGTTGAAATAGGTTACCGTAACGGAGATTAGTTTTGAAACTGACGAGACAAGTTAGAAAGTCCAGATAAATATCACAATGGGAAAACATATCTGTCGACAATCGAAACACAGAAATTCATTGATTCTGTAATAAAAGCAGAGATTAAGAATTTTGTGCGTGACACTGCTATCACTGAAATTCGTGAACAGTCGCATCGCAGTAATTAATACATGAAGTGAAGCAAAACCTTTTACGACATAAAGAATGCGTATATAGGTGAATTTAGAGAACGTGTCCACGTATGCTGACGAGACACAAGTTGAGTTTGTGTGCGCAATGCCAGCGAAAGACGCCTGACAAACTTACAAAATCCTGCCCAGCTGTTTTCATCTTGCTAGAACACCTACAGGGAAGCGAATAAACTTGTCTGCATTTCTGAATTTAAGCATCATCATAATTGACTGCCACCTAAACATCAGACCCCGATCCCCTTCTACTTGACAAGCTTCGATCGACTATTACTACCCCCAGAGACTCGAGCATTTGACGAGTCGCCTACAAACTTCGATACAGAAGGTGCATAAATAATAACAAAAACATGCAGCGCATTGAAAGGAGAGTCACACTGTGGCTTTATAAAGTGATCAAACATTTGTTCACAAAATAAAAACGGGTTTAGTGCACGAACTCAGATGTTTCACTTAAGTGCAAAGTTTTCCTAGAGAAGCTCATCTGGCCATAAACAATAAAGTATAACAAATAAAACTGATCATACAATAGGAAAAGGTAAAAAAAAAGAACATACTACCTGTGGCACGATGATAAATTGTGTTTCGGTTCTGAAACCTAATGTTTCATTCACGACTTGGTCAAACAGCTTCTTTCTTTTCTTTTTTCTTACAGTTACGAAGCACTTATATTATGGTTCTTAGTGTGATTTACAGCCGACAGTGGGTGGACTTTCCTTCATTGAAGCAATATTAGAAGCTATGTGGTGAAGCTGCTCGAGGAAGCAGTGACCCTCAAGTAAATATGTGATGCTACAGAGGAAGCCATGTGCGTTTCCATAACTTTATCACAATGCCTTCGTTCGCTTCCTGTAAGTAATTCCACGGCTTCCTCATCTCTGTACGAGCTCAATATGTGATCTACACAACCATGTGCAAGTTGTACTGCCAGTGTGTAAAAATGGTGCTCCTGCAGCCCCTACGCATGCCGTGTCATAACACGCACACACACACACACGCACGTTTGCATCATCATCATCATCATCATCCTTATTATCAGCAGCAGCAGC